AGAGAGAGAGAGAAAGAGAGAGAGAGGGAGCCAGAGAGAGAGAGAGAGAGAGAGAGAGAGAGAGAGAGAGAGAGAGAGAGAGAATAAGAATGACACCAGGAACTGAGGCCCCAGAGGATAAGAAATGAAGCCTGGTGCTCTGGCCCAGCGCAGAAGCCTGCTGGGGGGAGCGGCAGCAGCAGCGGCGAGATACCTGAGTCTGTGTGAGTCCCAAGGAGGCTGCGAGCTCCGCCCTCTCAGGCAGAGCTAGGTACTGGGTTTGCTGAAACCTCCTGTTCAAAGCCTGCAACTGTAAACTGGAATAAATTGTCCTGGGTTTACGGATCTTTTTCCCCTTGCCATTAAAGCGCACTTCGCCGCCTTCCACCACCGTGCTCTTCTCAGAGTCCGCCCCTGGAGGGACAGAAACAGGTTCCGTAGTTAACGTCGGGGCTGCCTTTGGAGACACGAGAGTGAGTGGCTATGGATGGGTTGGCAGGGGCAGGACCCGGGAGAGAATGTGCAAGAAACCCTGAAAGACTGGGAAGGGTCCTTCAGAGTCCGAGGGCCAGTCACCGGCTGCTGAAGGCGGAATTGGGTCATTCCCAAGAGCGCAGCTATTGCCTTTGCAGGGAAAGTTTGCTATTTTTGCAGGCGGTAGTTGAGGTTTAATTACCCTTAATTGCATACATTGTTTATAGCGCTACGCAATAAATAATTACCGAGACTAATACGTGCACATGTGGGTTTCTGTTTTCCAGAAGGGCACTGCGTGCTCGGCGCACCGAGCGGCCCTGAGGCCCAGCCAGTGCCAGGAGACGCTCTCGGATTTATTCTTTGCCGGATAGTTGTAGGTTGGATGGACTTTTAATATTTTTTCTTTACAGTGACAAGGATCCATAGATTGATACCCGAAACCTCTTGCTTCTTCCGCGCATTCCCCACCCCCCTGCCCACCTCTCTCTATCCTTCTCTCTTGTCTTCTCTCCTCCCCTTCTCCCCCTCTTGCCCTTTCTCCTCTTCTTGTCCCTGGCTAGCGCACGTACCTGGGTCCTCCAGGCGGCTCTGCGCGAGGCTGGCGCTGCCGGGGTAGGACTGCACCGAACTGATGTAGGGGCTGGACGCGTGGCTGCTGACCGAGTTGACGTAGGGGTAGCCCAGCGGTCGGGAGAAGGATGAGGCCGAGCTGTAGGCACCGTCGGGCTGCGAATGGCCCGCCGAGTGTAAACAGTGCATGGAGTAGTGCCCGTGTGACATGGGAGAAGGAGACATTTGCTGGTTGGGCGGCCCAAACTCCATAAACACCGCCTTGCCCGACACGGGGCTGTTGAGACTTTCTGGCATGGTGGTCATGGTCATCTCTTCTCGCGGGGTCTGGGTGTGGGTCTTTCTCTCCTCTGCTTCCCTTTTGGGGGTCTCTATGTTTCTCAGGACAGGAAGGAACCCAATTTAAGAGGAACAGGGGTTTTCACTTTCCATTCATAAGAAAATGGAGTTTGTCTCTTTGAAAAGTCTAAGCATGATGCTGCCGAGCTCCCCAAACTCGGTTCAAAGCTTTGACTCAGCCAAGGTCATAAATATTCATGAGCTGGTGGAGCTGATTGGTCGGCTGTCTTGCATAATCACCGGGGATTGGTCCGAGACTCTCGGGCTCGGCTGGACTAGAGCGGTGGACGCGGCCGGGCCTTGGGGAGAGTCTGGTCCACACTTCCCGGCCGGGGCTCCTCTGCGGCAGAACGCGCGGTGCGGGACGCACAATGGGCTGCGGTTCCGCGCTGGGACCCCGGAGGCGCGCGACTCTTCAGTCTCCCGCCTCCCTCGCGCGCTTTCCCCCTAGAAACCAACCAGCGGCTCCCCGCGGTCGCCCTCCCCCTTACTGTCCCCACCCTTCGCCCGCCCCCAAAGCCAGGGACCCAGGACCACCTCCTGTCGCCGTCACCCAGTCCGGTGCTGAGCGCCTCTCCAGAGTCTGGCGCCGGGCCCTGGATCGCAGAATCGCGCACTGGGAGACCGCAAGCAGCCAGCGCTGCTCCAGAGCGTCCTGGGTCTAGCTCAGCGTCCTCCTGGCCGCACCTCCCAGGCCCAGGTCCTCTCGGCCACATCCCGGGAATAGGGGTTTGGGACCCACTGGCCCAACTCACTCAGTTGGCCGCCGCCCGGCCGCCGCCACCGCTCCCAGGGGCCTGCTCGCATCTCTCCAGGCCCAGCTGGCCACTCCAGCTCCGGGCTGCTCCCGTCTGATCAAAGCAGTGTGCGTGGAGAGCCAGGAACCCGCGCTTCTCCTCCCAGGAAAGGCGGCCGCACCTCCTCCCACCATCAACACACCCCCCGCCTTTCCCTCCCAACCTTCCTGCCTCCCCCTCCTCTCTCCACTCCTCTTGAGCTGTGCGCCCCGAGCTCAGTCGCCCCGAGGGCACGGCGCAGCGTGGAGCCCAGGGACCCGCAGGCTCAGGGCTGCTGGAGCCCCGCGGACGCCCACCAGGTGGTCATTTTCCGACCTCCTGGGGTTTGGCGAGAGGTTCCCGGGTTTTGGAATCCTGGAGGGTGGGGTCTGACACCGAAACCCTCAGCAAATTCAGACCTGTACTAGGCTCCAATATTTGTGTACAGACATATCTCTCTTTGTCGCCCACTTCCTCACCTCTAGTCGCCAAAGCTGGTGCCTCCCGGCCTGGTGGCAGGCAAAAAGCTGCTAAGGCGCCTTCTATCTTCTGAGGTCCTAGGTACTGAAAAGCGCACAAAAGGCCCCCTCGCCCCAACCCGCCACTAACCACACAGCCACCCCCTCTTCGCGTGGTGCAAACTACGCTGGTTGCTAGGGGCTGTTGGTCCCCATCCCGCCAGCCCCATGGTGAATCCCAAATTACTTTGTTAGGTAATTAGAAAGTGTTGATAATTATTTCTTTCATAATTTAGCGGTGTGACAGGGAACGGGGAAATGATCTTGTGAAAGTTCACACGTGCAGATGTATTAGTTACTGATTCATTTGATTAAATGGTAGTCTCAAGTGCTCAGATCCGCAGCTGAAGGCGCCCCATTAGCATAACACTGATGTTTAATTTTCATACGCATAATTAGCCATATATTTAACACTAATAGCAACATGCAGCCTTTCAGCGTTAAACAGCCGGGGATTTGATCTGGCCTGAGCTGAACCTTCACCGCCGCACCTTCCCCTGTCTGGAGAGCGCGGTGATCGCAGGACAGACCTCTGTAATCAAGCACATTTTGGCAGAGGGAACACCAATAAAAATGAACATTCAAAACAAATTACATCGGTGATGTCGTTACAGATATGAATACAGGGGAAACCACACTACACACACAGACACCACACACAGATCTCTCTCTCTCTCTCTCTCTCTCTCTCTCTCTCTCTCTCTCTCAACTTCTTCAGCAGCGGTTCCTGCCCACAGAATTCCTCTTCTTTAGTTTAAGGACATGATGCTGGGGGCAGAAATGTTTCAGGCAGTGTGTGGTTGGAGCAAAAGAGAAAAACAAAAGGAAAAAAAAAATCCAAATTCTCTAAACCAATAATGGGTTTGTCAACGCGTTAGATTTTTTTTCTTAATCACCGAACCACACAGTGAGGCTATGTAGCAACAACCAACTAATGACTCCACCACTAGACAACTCCCGAGCCACTGATTTCCCTGTTGCACTCGTGATTTTAATTGCTCCTTCTTAGCGCCTGTTTCCGGGTGTGGAGAACGGTCCTGTGCGCCCAGTACAGCCGCTCTGAAGCCGCCTGAGCCCCGGGTCTTTCACGCGCTCCTTGCGGGCCCTGCCCACGTAAGTGATCGCTGCGGCATGTGGGGGTCGAGGTGGGGACAGGGGAAGGCTAGACTGCTGTGTCCTGGAGCTCAGTGTGAGGCCCGAGGAAACCGGAACCTAAGAATTGCAGGGTGGGGGAAGGGGAGAGAGTCGAAAGTCTCCTAGGTGCTCATTCCTTCCACTCTTTGAAGGCGATGGGCGACTTTCGCGGAGCAGACCAGGCTGGCTCCGGGCGGGATAAAGCAAACACTCCTAGGCGGGATAAGGTTTCAGAGGCTGGCTTAATTTAGAATTGAAGTATGGGTAGGTGAGGGCGTCCACTCCAGAATTATTTCCTCACCTGAGGAAGCAGGTCTTGGGGAAATGCTGAGCTGGGGCCTCAGCTAGCTTCTCAAGTGAGATGTTATCTCTACTACTTTGTGAGCTCTGAGTGGATTTCTCCCACCACCCCAATTCTAAGGTGACACCTGTTCTAAAATGTTTAAATCTTTGTCTGTCCCAAGTAGTGAGGAAACCAGACCTCCTCCCTTCACCCCACCACCCACCCACACCAGTTGGTCCTGAGGGTTCTGGATTCTGAAGAGAACCTTACTGGTGTTTGCCTAGCTCCACTTGGTGGAATCCCTGCAGCTCTGGGTTAGGTTTCAAGTCAGTTCTGCCAATGAATCGGTGCGGTGAGGAAGCGGACTTGATGAGGCATTTGAAAAAAAATCTTAATCTGAGCTTCAAGGAATCTTACACAAAATTCGTTCTAATTCAAGTTTGTTTCCTACAGAGCTGTTGGGTATTGGCAGTATTGGATGATACATGCACATCTTTAGGTTAGTCACTTTAATAAATCAGATTATATATCTTTCCCATAAAGACCTCCACCTTACAATAATTGTCCCAGTGGTTGGTAAAATCCTGTGGTCCTAATAAAACTATCTTTTGGGGGGTCTCAGAGTAAACTGATCTGCAGATAAAGATACTACATACTAATCCGATCGCTCTAGGAAAGTGAAGTCATTCCTTGGCAAACATCTTCCACAGCCAGCTGGGCTCTCTTCATCCCTAGGGAATATGAGTTGTACTGTGACCACAGCCTCAGCCTATGGGCCTCTGCCTGGCTAATTTTGGAGCACCTCAAAAGTTTATCAGTTGATTTTATAAATCTTCATCACTTCCAGCTCTCAAACCAACTAGCTTCAGTATCACTCCAGCCAAAGTTGTAGCCTCTGGATGCAGAGAAACTGATCTGAAGGGTGAGGGGTCACAGAGCCCTGTGTTTAGGGAAAAGCTGGAACTTAGCACTTTTCCACCTCCTTCCCCAAAACTCAGGGTATCAGAAAAACAAGCTAGCTCCCCAAGGGCTGTCACTGACGCCATCAGTCCCAACAACTGCAGGACAAATCCATGGTGTCCTGACAACCCAAGCCGGGTTTGGAGTTTGGGCTATAGCAAAACAAGAGTACAAATAAGAATTAGCAAGGGCCACTGATCTAGACCCCCCCATACCTTCACTAGACCAGTTCCTAAAAAACAGGCCCAGAGGGAACTGGTTTCCTTTGAGGACTTAAGAGGCCCAGCCTCCTCTACTCTGGAGTGTGGTGTAAATGGATCCCCAAGAACAGGAAGGGAAAGAAGGCTCTGGGCAGGAATGGACTCCTGCTCCTGAAGAGGGTAGGAGCTGTGAGCAGACTGACCCAGAGTTCAAGAGCCCCCTCCAGATGGGGCCAACTAGGCCCTTGTCTCAAGTGTGGAGGGTGTCTCCTTTCTCTTGAGTCCTGGGAGGTCTCAGGAATACATGATGTGTGTGGTCCAGGGAGTACAGAGTGCAAATCCCAGATAACGGTCCTGAAGAGGTCAATTCAGAGACTAGTTACCCTGGTAAACGGCCAGGGTGGGGTTGCCGCTAGAACTAGTTCAAGATTTAGCAGCTAGGGTTGGGGTGGTTTCAAACATAACCTGGGGAGGAGGGGTGGCAACCCTGGTTGCTGATAAGGAGCCTGGGGTCAGGAAAGGCATTTATCTGGATTGCTAAAATCCTGCAGGATTGAGCACATGGTCCATAGCCAGGAAAACAATCGTGGTCAGTGCTTCACTGCTCATCTCGCCTTGGTTTTACCAAGATAAAGGGGAAAAGGCAGAGGGTGGGAGAAGGTGCTGGTCTCTGGAAGACCCTACGGGCTGGCCAATTTGAGATCTGGGGGTGGGGGAGGTTTAAAAAGTCCAGCCGGCAGGTCCTGTTCCTTCTTTTTGCACAGGTGTGTAAAAATTTTGGAGATTCAAAAATTAACGAGCTACCCTCTCCCCTTTATAACTGTCGGATATAAAGAACACACACAGTGGGTTTCAAAGGTTTTTTACTCAGGTAGAGTATGGACAGGGAATGGCAAAACACCTCCTCTGCCCAGGAAGGCGTCTGGCTCCTCTCCGATGGCTTTTCTGTGCTAGGCAGGAATAGTCTTTTGAAAGAGCAGGGCTTCAGACCTTAGTCCCCAGTGCCCAGTTCCCAGGGTTTTCTCGGAGACAGTCGGGTGTTCAGGTAGATTCGTATGAGGCCCAAGGTTCTTTTCTCAAAATTCTCCAGCAGAGTGTCAGCATTTAAGAAAAAAGGCACCAGGGCCACTCTCAGGCTTCCTGGGGCAGCTTGGTCAGGATCTCCGCGCCCCACGATGTGATGAGGACTGTGTGCTCAAACTGCGCAGACCTGAAATACAGGTCAAGTTAGGATGCTACACTCCCCCCGCCCCAACCCCCTCTCCACCCCGGCCCACTGCATGGGCTGCCCAACAGCCTCCCTTCCCCAACAATACAAAAACAACAGGGCAAGCAAACACCTTTGGTTGTCCAGGGAGACCACAGTCCACGCATCCTCCAGGACTTTAAATTCAGGGGACCCCTCGGTGATGATTGGCTCTGTAAGAGGAAATATTTATTGTAGTGATCTCATTAGATATTTGTTAAACACGCCGTTTATAATGAGAAAGAGAGGAAAGCAGAAAGACAGGAGAGAGGAAAGAGAGGGAGGGAGGGAGGGAGGGAGGGAGAGAAAGGAGACAGGCACAGAGAAAGGATTATAAAGAGGGGTCCCCCTCCCCTTGAGTGTTTCACCCAAGGGCTCATGTTGTCATCTTGCAAGGGCTGATAATTGATGCTGCTTACATAGTATACCACAAACGAAACAGTAGGAAGAGGAAATGCTGCAGCATTAAAAAAATGTTTGAAGTTGCCTGGTTCATAATTTTTTAGAGAAAGAAGGGCATTTTAATCAAGCCTTAATTAGGACCCTGTGGATAATAACCACCCAAACACCAGTCCCTCTTATAAATACCAGTCAGTTTTTAAAAATATTTGAATTTTTAAAACATGCTCAAAAATGTTCATTAATCAGCAAATAACAATTTTCTTATTTTACTCTAATTGCTTCTCCATTAAGTCCCACAGTCAGAACTATGAGGCCTTGGTGGCCCGAGGTGATTGGAATTTGGTGGTGACACCAATCATGCCATCAGCTAGGAATGGGCCGCCACAGAGCACATGCCACTTGCTGACAGGGAGCAATGGACTTAATCGTCTCTAGTTACTGGGTGTTAATGAAAAAACAAAACAAAACAAAAAAACAAACAGCACATTATGCCGGTAACAGAATTAGAGGTTGGATGGCTGCCGTCTCCTAAATGTGTCGGTAAGTATCTGATTTAGGAAGACGGGGTTGGAGGATATTATTTAATCACATTTACTATGCATCCGAATTATTTCATTATGCTGATTGGCTTTATTAGTCCTTTGCAGGACTGCAGGCCTAGGCAAGGACCACAGTTTCCACTCAGGAGCCCCAGCTCTCCAAAGAGGAGCCCCAGCATTTACCTATGGTGAACACCATGCCCTCCTCCATGGGCAGATCATTGTCATTTGCTGCAAAACAAACACAGGGAGGCATGAGAAGAGGGACAAAGAGGAAGAAACACATGGGGCCGGGTGGGGGGGTGGACTGTTTTAAAAAAAACATGGTTTGGCTTTTAGAAAAGGTAGAGGGTTCTAGACACCTGAGTGATCCCACAAGGTAAAACCCAGAGTTTGTGGGGGGTGGGGGCTCACAGTATCTACGTCCCAAGGCCATGCCCACTAGCAGTTGCCAAGGCCTGGCAGGGGCAGCCTGGGTGTTTCAGACATGGGTAGGGTTCCCTCTCTGATATTCCCCAGGTTCCCTCTGCTATGTGTCCTAGTCTTTCTGGGTCTCCCCAACCCCCAAAGGAAAGAAGTTTGGAGGAAGATGCCAAAGGACAGCACCTCAGATGAAGGTTGGAGCAGGAGGCAAGGGCTCCATCCTCAACTCCAGGCATTGGCATTGGAGAGGCACAGGGTGAGAGGTCCTTTCTAACCCTGACTTAGGCTCTCCTGAGCTATCTCAGGTGGGGCTCTTTGGTTCAAAGAGGTTCTGTCCTGTGGCTCTCCAGGGATCCTATGGAGGTGGGTTCCAATTTGTAGTTCTTCCAGGGACCAGACCTACCCCAAGCACACAGGGCAAGGCCCAGGAGTAACTTTCTGCTAGTCCTTGTCCAAATGTGCACCCCCTCGGGGCTCCATCAAACAGCTGCTTCCTACCTTAACCCAAATCTTCCCACCCCTTCTGGCTGCAGTTACATTCTCCCTGTAGGATGCTCACCCAGGCAGTGAAAAATGGGATTCTGGGGAAGGAACACAAGGGTGGGCATAATCTAGAAATCACTAAAGAGTACATGCTGCTAAATACATCAGCTGTCAACGCTGTGTAGGATGTAATGAAGTTTAACCACAACAGTCAGCGGTTAGAAAAGGGGGTAGAGAAAGAAAAACAGAAAACAGTCATATGTACATGCTGCTGGGACATTGATGCAGTGGTGTTTTGTTTTCGGTAACTTTTTCTAGACAATTATCCCTTGGGCCTTCCAGCCATGCATCCTTTAGAAGACCAAAAGCAAAATAAACTTTATTTGAGGAAAGTGCTGAGCTGTAATCTAACAGCAGAGTAGTGTACTGGTTCAATTAAGTAGATAATCTCACACAGACATATATACATACTCATTCTTTCTCTCTGTCTGTCTCTTCTCTCTCATACACATACATCCAGAGGGAGAGAGAGAGAGAGAGAGAGAGAGAGAGAGAGAGAGAGAGAGAGAGAGAATATGGATTCAAAAAGGAAGAATTTAGAGCAAAACTCCCTTATCCTGATGTCCCTCAATAAGCAGCTTCCAAATTAACTTTCTTAACTTTCTTACCATGATGCCATATTTCTGGATGTCCATGAAAGTAAGATCCTATTCCATGCCCCACGAAATGTGGACAGACTTGCAAACCATTCTGCTGAGTTATTTGGCTTTAAAAGTGACCAAAAGATATTTAACTAAATTAGATGTTTTGATGCATATTAAGATAAAAATAAAATCACTTAAAATATTTTCTGAAAAAGAAAAAAATCAGTTCTATTTAGAGTCTGAAGACAGCATTAATCTTTTCTTTATTCTGGGACAATTTCAGTGTTGGCTGATACTTGTTAACAACTCCCTTTGTGAAGAGAGAGGATAGGTGTAGAAGCAGTTTGAGTTATTTACCTGAGCACAACATTCAACAGAGGTCATTTTTGGACCAGAAGTGAATATGCATATACAAATGCAGACTGATATACATAAGGAATATATATGTAATGCAGGCCACAAAAACTTACCTGATTTTGTTGGCTTTATGGGTAAATCATTGTACAATTACTACTGATTGTACACTAAACAAATTATAATCTACAAATATGACTTTCCACTTTCATGATTTAATTTACACTGATCTATTTAGAATGTCAAACATTTTATTTTAAAAATATTTTATTTATTATTTTTATTTTATGTGTTATGAGTGTATTGCTTGCATGTTTGTAGATGTACCCGTGTCATGCAATGCCCAAGGAGGTCAGAAGAGGGTGTCAGATTCCCTGGAACTAGAGTTACAAACAGTTGTTAGCTGCCATGTGGGTGCTAGGATCTGAACCCAGGTCTTCTGCAAGAACAGCCAGTGCTCTTAACTGATAAGCCATTTCTCCAGTCCCTACAATGTTAAACATTTTATAAACACACACAAAAGATTGTCTGTTTTGTTCATTTTCTTGAAACACTTCAAAAATAGATGATTGCTTTAGGGTTCTACTTAAGACAACCATCATTAGCAAAATTCAGAAAAGATTATTTTAATTACTGATATTTGGGAGAAATTAGTATTGGCTATATTTGATGCTTCATTAATTGTTTTTAGATGCAACTGTTTCTGGTTCTGTCTCTTATCAATGAAACCTAGCACATAGAATCTAACCATAAAATCTTTACCTGCAAGGATGAAAAGGTTTATTGTTGAGATCAGATGAATATGGCTATTTCTGGGAGCACCAGACTGTTTTACATAAAAAAACATATATACTACCAATGATTTATATTTTCTTGCAGACAAAGGGCATGAGACCCCAAACCCTACCCATAAAAATGGAAACGTATTTCTAGAACAATGGCTGCAATCTTAACAAATCCAAACATTTTAGCTCAAATTCATCTCTACTAGACTCTAGGTTTAATTTCACATGAACCCTTTTAGCTAGCATCTTTAAGAACATTCACATCCATATACACTTTTTTTTTTTCTTTTTTTTTTTGTCTTTTTGAGACAGGTTCTCCCTGTAGCCCCAGTTGGCCTTGAACTCACAGAGATCCACCTGCCTGTTTCCCTAGTGCTGGGACTAAAGGCATGTGTCACCATGCCTGGCTCACTTTTTTTTTTTTTCATTTTTTTGAACATAGTCTCACTTTGCAGGCCAGGCTAGCCTTGAACTCATGATCTTCCTGCCTATGCATCCTGAGTGCTGGGATTATAGGCAAGTGTCATCGTGCCCAATTTCACTTTTAAAAACTTTTTTTGAGTACTCCCAGATTCGTAAGATTTCACTTGGACAAGGATGTCCCTGTAACCAGCACGTGCAGCTTCTCAGTGAAATTTAATTTTGATGTAACGGATAGGATAGAAATAGGTGAACTGTGTAAGTGCTAAGGAAAGGAACGAGCCAAAGTTTTCATCTCTTAAGCTGTGCTTTATAGCCATGACTATTTTGTAGGACTTTGTATTTTGGAAAGGAGGTATGATATCTTTTCCAAGGTGTTTCTACTTGTTCCACACAATTTCTGAGAAAAAACAAAACAAAACAAAACAAAACAAAAACAAACAGGATGGAGCATGGATAGAGGGTGGAAGAGAGATGACTAAATAACTCATTACAGTTTAGTTTTTTTTTTTTATTTTAAGAATGGGTTCTTCCTAAACCTATAAATTACGTTAGTTCAGTCTCAACAAACCACAATTATTTGAAAAGCATCTAATATAAAGTATTCTAGTATTTTCTTTAAAAACAACTAGATTTTTTTTTAAAAGACCCAACTGATTGGCAGCCTTCACAGCTACATCTTAAATGTGTCTTACAATGGCAATCTTCATTTTAATTTCCAATGAGAGGAGAGGAAGAAAGCACACTCTGAAAACCCTCTGGATTCCCCCCCCATCATACCTCTCATTCCTCCTCAAAAAAGAAGCTGTGCAATTACTAAATAACTGATGATATTTGAGGGCATTCTCCCGCCACAGTTTGCTCTCTGGGTCCTGGTGGAACTTCTGGCTACAGGAGTATCACAAATGTTAGAGGATTTCACAGCTGGGGGAAGGGAAGAGAACTGACAAATTTCTCTTAGTTCCTTGGTTGAACATTAAGCTAAGAATGTACTTTCTGTCTGTTTTGGATTGGTGGTCTTCAACATATGCTTAAATGAGATAGAATTTCGTTAATGTGCTCAATTGTGGTTTAAAAAACATGCTATTTCAACTATTTTGTAATACATGGTGAGCATAGACTATTAACCTGGTTGTAGGGTTTAAATCTGGTTTCACAAAGATAAAGTGATTTGGGGTATCAATTTCTACTCTTCCAATAGGTAAGCAAGTGTTGGTCACCTTAACGTGGCATGGGAAGGTGGAGTGTGCATCTGCCTCTTGACCAAGATGTTAGGGAGAAACCAGAACAGAGAGGCAGGCAGGCACTAAGTGAGGCAACTGCTCCCCAACACCAGCCCACTGCAGGACCATTGGCTGTCTCTGAGCACAAGCGTTTTCTTGCCCTAAACATTTCACAGACAAAACCTTTTTTTGTTGTTGTTGCTGAAATCTGCTGAAAAGAACTCTCCTATTAGCTCTTCCGTTCTAGTTTTCTCTAACTAAAAATCCTTTATGACACATATTCATGAGCCTAGCACAGTTATGATTCCAAGCCTTTCCAATGGAATGCTAAGGGAAAGAAGATGTATAGAGCTAGTTTATGAACTTACTTTTCAAATATACTGGATCATTACAGCTCATATTTCAATTACAGTTCATACTTGGAAGAGAAATTTCTTTTAAGGAGTTTCCTGTGACCATTTTCTTCAGTTTTATTCTTTCATGAAGCAGTGAGATGCCACTGAAGTGTTGTCTTAAATAAATAAAACTTCTTAACAAATTTCAAGTACTTCATATGACTAAAAGTGGATTCCCCAAGAGGGCAGAGGCGCACCATGTTTAAGTACATGATCTTAAAAGGAAATAAAAATGCACGTGGAATAGTCTTATTATCATTTTCACATGAATCCTGTGAACACCACTCATCTCCAAAGGGTTATATCTCTTACTACAGGAGGATTCTCAAAAGGCACCTAATTTGATAAGTTATAGAATTTTACTTCAATCTTTCTAGGTTTTTAATCCAAGTAGTAGTTTTTGAATGAAGGAATGCATAAAGCCAGGGATTCCCTCTAATGACAGGAACGTTTAAGTACAATTAGTAATATTTTTGAAAGCCAACAACTATTTTCTAAAAGAGTGGTACTTTTTTTTTGTTTTGTTTTGTTTCAAGCTGGATCACAAATTACTGTATTTTTCTTACAATAGTGCTGAACTTTTATTTGAGGTTTTCTGTTTCTGAAAAGCAGACATGATGGATTGAAATAAAAGATAATTTATTGCAATGCTTACTTTCATGTGCAGAGAGAAGCAGTGTAATTGTAATTTACAGTAGCTGTCAAGAAAAATCCATCACAGATGACATTAAAATGACTTATTTTGCCTGAGCCACTTATTGTTTAAATGTGCATAATCTAATAGAAAGAGATTATTTTTTAAAAATCTGCTTTATATTGTTCTAAATTAATATCAAAACATATACTTATGAATTAAACATTAAAAACCCATTTATTGATACTTTCATCATGACATTTACAACTATGAGTTTAAATTTTGGAGTGAACTGTCACACACTGGTGAAACATGCAGATTATTATGGTGTACTTTCAAATTATTCTCACACATGTGGATAATGCAAAGATGATTATGAAGAACCAGTTTAGAGATATCTTAAAGCAAATGGAAGTGGAAAGTGGGTACAGCCACACCAAGACCTAGAGCTCACTGGGCATCGCTCATGAAGCCAGAGAGCACGGGAATCTGTCTTCATGGGGTCCTTTTAGCTGACACTTCCTTAGAGGCACTTTCCTATCCTTCAGGACTGGAAGGAAAATTTCAGAATTTCCTGTAGTGAGCTCAAGGGTTGGGGTAACAGAATCAGAATGCAAGATGCCTAGATGTTCTGTTCAGAGTGTATGGGTCAGAGGGAGGCTATGCAGATGGTGACTGTCTTAAAATAAATGAGACTGAGTTGAAAGATGTTTGTAAACCTTTGGTGTGTAAAGATTTCAAGTACTTTTGGCTCAAAGGTGGATCTCATTTGTTTATTTACTCCGTAAAGATTTTTCCTGAATAAGAAAGGCGAAATAATAGGTGTCCAGAAATACTGCTTTAACACATCAGAACAAACATTTGTTAGACTCAGGGCCAGTTTCCTCGCCAGCGGCAGACATAAGCCATCTAAATAATGAAATGCATTAGAGTAAGAGTAAAAAGTTCATTGTCTGTTATTTTCCACATAGTTTTGTATGTGCAGTTGTTGGGGCTGATCTGGTTTTCAAAGGAGCCTGTTCATGCAAATTCATACTCTGCAAAAACTGACCTTTGCATCCAGATAGCTAAAATCCAATGTCACTTTCAATTCTACTCTTCTGCTGCTTTTTTATGTAGCTGGAATTAATGTAGTGAATATGTAATGAAATGCATTATCCTGCATGGAGATTTATCAGATTCTCCCACTGAATGCTGTGCTCTTCTAGTGCTAGCTGGAGTTCACCTGCATGTTGGTGTGGCGTGTGGCTCTTTTTTGTAAAGAGTTAAGTCGTATACAAAAAAAGGGAACAAAGGTCAGCACCCAGCCACCACTTGAATGTGAGATTTTTCTTTTTATTCCCCTTGATGTATACTAGGCTCTGTGTTATTAGTCTTAATGATGGAAAATTGTAGTGTTGATACAAATCTTTTTTTCAAAGTAGTAGGCGGGAGCTCCATTTGTTAGTAAGTTTTTTTTGTGACTAAAAGCCACGGACAGTACATTTATGTAGCAGTAAAAGGCCTAGATGCTCTTTCCATAGCAGAGCTAATTATTCCTACTGTGACCTTACTGATCTAGCCTGTTCCTGGTACATCTCATCTGCACGCCTGTTCCTCTGTGTAGATGGTGTCAGAGAATATGAAAAACCCTATAATGAAACCATTTTCATGATGGAGAAAGGCTACTGGAGTTGCACTTGCTACAAAGAGGCTCAATTATATGAGTAATTGTGATAATTTTCTACATTCATAGCCTTCAATGGGGAAAAAAGAATGAGAGCCACAAAGGAAAATTACTTTAACAAGAAAGTACAGAGAGTAAAAATGGAAGAAGAGACAAAAAGGGGAAAAAATAACCAGAAAAAAAGTTTAAAAAATAGATCTGGAGGGAGGAATAGCGAGACAGGGCGAACAACAGAAATGCTCAAAAGCCCATGTGCAGCTGTGTTGCACAATTAAATTGAATTTTTTTTCTGCAGTTGATGAATGTGACTACTGCAAATGTGCCTCTGCAGTTAGCTATCATTTGTTGTTCCGTGACAGGAAAAGGATAATTACCTCTCAGAGAGAATCAAAGGCTGACATGCCCTTTAGACACAGCCATGAATGCAGAGCTCCATAGAATGCCTGAATAAGAATCTAGTGTTCTCTGCCCCCTTCTACTGAAGAATAAATTTTGTTAAAATGCAAGAGCACCACCAGCAAATTTGTTGAACCCTAGGTGTTCAAAAATATGAGGTGCATCTATCGACTCATCCCATTTGCAAAAATAAAACTGCATTTTGAATTCGTTTCTATTATATTCATGGACAGTAAGATAGTGAGATATGCATTAAATTTCTTTTCCCAGTAGGGGTCTGATTCAACATTTCCTATGAAAGAACAGAGAGACACTATCCTTTTTTCCCAGGCTAGTTAGCCTATAATTTAAAACTGTCAAAAACACAATTTTGTTCAAAGTCTTCAATAAAAGCTTCTCAGATATAACCCAAAGAGATTTTACTAAAGTTTGATTCAGACACTGTTACAATATTTTTAAAGCCATAAATACATTTAACTGATATTTTACTGCCTTTTTTCTTAAAGTATTTGAAGGCGTATGCAGAAAAAAAGGCAGCGTCTTTTCAAGGTGACTAGGCTTCCATCCTTTGGGCAAACGGGAAGTATTCAATGGCTCATATTAATGAGAACAGTACTTTCAAGGGAGGTGATGTGATCATCTTTAACAAAATGTGTTGCTCTAAATGAAAACACATATTCTGCATGTCTATATCAAAACATTTAGGGCAAAAAAAAATCTGAAAGTGGGAAACAGATTACAAAGAAAAGTCTTGAATACAGAAAATACACATACACTCAAAAGGCAAGCACAGGATACCGTGTGGAAAATAAACAATGGTTTACAGGAAAAATGAACCAGACAAAAAGGGACAGAAGGACCAGCCTTTCAGGCTACTTGCTAATCTGCTAACTTGAAAAGTAAGGCTGCATTGAGCTCACACTTCTGATCTTTGTACCTCAGGAATATATTTCACTGTGCTCCTTTATAAAATTGAGCTTTTTTCTTTTTTTTTTCACAATCTGAGGGCTGGGTGCTCAGCCTTTTTCTTACGCACCTTCTTCCATATTTGGTGGGATTTTGAGTAAAGGAACATTATAGACCAGTATGTCAAGCTAAAACAAAAGCAGCCACATAAACATTGCTCACTGCTCCAATAAGTTTCTTTGCTGATCCTGGTCAAATTCACTTTTTTTTTTTAAACCATTTTTTTTTTTTTTAACCACCGGAAAAAATTTTGCCGCTTGGCGGTTACAATACATTTTCACGCATCCTGGTCAAATTCACTTTTTTTTTTTAAACCATTTTTTTTTTTTTTCAACCCAGGGAACAATATTGCAGCCTGGCAGTTCACATACTGATATCAGACTGAAATGATGGTCCTGAATCATAAAACATGTCATCAACTTTATACCAAGCCACCAATAACCTTTGTACCATTTGCCAACCCTCCCTTTACTTGTCAGTACAAGGCTTACCTGATTGTGTTTCCAATTACAGAGAAGGGAGCCCCAGCTCCGCAGGCTGCAATTGCTTCATCTCTACACCTCCTGGCAACCGCCACTAACTTTTTACCACATTCATCCACATTGCCCACCAAAAATGTTTCAGAGGTGTCTCCATGGTAGCCATTGTAATAGACCTAAATACAGGTACAAAATTTAAAGTATGTCGTTGTTTGGAATTCTATTCTCCTAAAGTATATGTAGTATTCATTTATGCAAATTCATTACCTTTTCAGAATGACTCTCAAGTTTGCATATTTTTTTAAACAGGAAAAAAATACCAACTTTACAGAAATTTAAAAGATGAACCCATGCAATGCTACATGCAGAATCTAAAAACAAACAAATGACCAGCAGGGCTATTTCAGCATTAGGATTAGTAACACTACTGTGCCTTTCTGATTCCTCCTTTTATCAAAACTATACATAGAAAAATTAGTTACCAGATACATTGACCTACAATTCCCACAGTAGGTTTAGAAAATTATGTCTTTAGCATAGTAAAAAGTGTCCTCAGTGTCATGAAGATTTACAGGATCTTTTATTTACCAGCTCTATACTTGGAAGTGATCCATAATGACAAGAGAAATAAAATAGACATGCTAGCATTGTAATGGCTGGAAGGAGAATTCTGTGCCAAAAACCAAAGTGGCTCAATACAGGAGTGAAATACATTACAGAAAAATTCTGTGTCTAGAAATGAAACTTAATCAAATGTTCCAGATAGCAAAATGATAACAGAAAACACTGTGTAGATTTTTAAAGAATTAGAACATGTCAGAACAAGCTTAGGGGTAAAATTACAGGCAACATAATTCTATCAGTCTTCAGTGATTTGGAAGCCCCATATGATCTTGAATGACATAAGGTTCATTATGAAAAATCAGTGAGTAGCAAACATTATAATAAATATGGCAGAAGGCAGAGGAGACTGGATGAGCATTGATCCTTAGAGGTAATATGGTATTTACTATTTTGCAGAAATTTGTCCTATCTAATTATTTTCACAGTTCTCTTTTCCTAAGGTACAACACAGAGACTCTTAGGAGAAAAGCTATTTATCTAAGTTTTCTGTCTGATTTAATATCTTACATCTGAATACTTTCATACGTTTAAAAAACTGTTCCCATATATATCCTGTGAAAAAAGCAAGAAAAATCTTATAAAGGTCTTCAGTTTTCAAGTCAGGAAACTGAGGCACAGACAAGCAACTTGTCTGGGGTCGGTGGTAGAATACAGAGGTGAACCCAGATTAATCTGATGGATTGTTGGCCTCTGATCAAGTGTTTTTACTATAAAATGTTTTACTATAAGTGTTTTCATATAAAATCATCTTAATTCTTGTGCAATTGAGCAGTGCCTTATAATTAATCCCAATTTATAGTCCTTTGTATGAACACATAAGTTTTTATATACAAGAATATAAAATTTGCTAATATGAGTAATTGTTCAAGAAAATTTGTAACAATGTTTTTAAGTAAAATGTATTATTTGAATTCATTTACTTGTTTCATATTTCTTTAAAACTTTAAATTATTACACCCATTTTATTTTGTGTGTCTATATATGTGGATGTACATGTACCATGACATGCATGTGAAGGTTAGAGGACAACTTCCAAGAGTTGGTTCTCTCCTTCCACTGTGTGGGTCCCAGGGATTGAACTCAAGTTATCAGGCCTGGTGGCAAGCTCCTTTACTTGCTGAGCTATCTCACTACCCCTATTTCAGATTACTTTTTCACTAGCTTTTAGAATAATTACTTGAAAGATTCAATATATTAGGAACACAATGTGTGAGTGTGTGTGTGTGTGTGTGTGTGTGTGAGAGAGAGAGAGAGAGAGAGAGAGAGAGAGAGGGAGAGAGAGATTGGGATTGAAACCAGGGTCTTGTGCATTCTTTGTAGGAATATAATACTTGTGAAAGTTGGAGGCAGTCATCTAGTTTGTCCTCATAAAGTAGTCTTGTCTTAGACTTCATTTAACAAGCATATTAATTGAGCAACTACTATAAACATCACAGTGTCATTAAAAAAATAACTTTCAAGAAAAAAAGTACCCCATTTTCTCATGATACATACTAGGCAAAAAGAACTATAAAATGTCATGGGTACTTTCAGATAAAAACATAGGAACTAGAAAGAGTCCTTCAGTTCATAGAATATTTCATAAGAAATATAATTTTTGATATTGACCTATATGTCTCTTAGATTCCTTCACATTTCTAGACACTTGAAAGTATTTCAAATGAGTTTAAGAATTGTTGGAATAATTTAAAATTTAAAAATGAAGTTTTTATTAAAAGTCTTTAGGAAACTCAGAAAGGAATAATGCGTTCTCTCAGGACATATTGGAAACGTGGAAGAACATGCCACTTTCATTCAAGCAAGGTATTTTATTAGCAGGTGATTAGGCGAGGCAATAAGTGTGAAACCCTAAAATCAGGTTCAATCCAAAATAAAAGTACATCAGGAGAAAGACTTTATTTCAGGTGCACTTCTCAAAACACCTCCTACATGATTCTGAGTTGGAAAGATGCCAACAGGATATGTTGAGCAAATGCTTAAGCATTCCAAGTAGGACAAAATGATACAGGAAGTAAAATGAGCCAGAAACGAATTGTTGGCTATATCTTTGCACGAATTGATACAAAGGAAAAGGCTGAATTAATTTAAATGACTAAAAATCTGACTGAATTCAACTATTGGTTGCCTATTTCCATCTCATTCCCACTCTTCCCTAAGTTTCAGTCTGTATATAAAATAACTGTTATTAAAAATATTTCCTCACTAACAGGGATCCCTTGAATGATGTCCCTCTTGAAGAGTCCTCATCAGATGTTTACATTTTATTTATCTGAAATTTACTTATTAATCATAGAGGTACAGATTTTATTTATGATCTGCATAATCCAAAAGGTACCATTATAAATAATTTTTGATAAAATGAGCATAAATAATCCAAGTCTGAGAATCGCGAAAAACTAAGGAAATCAGAAATGGTTACAGTTTGTAGAATGTGAAGGCCCTAAACTAAATCACTTGGGCTTGTTATTTAAAAGAATGGCCATTAACCATTTAGTGAAAACTTAAGTTCAGAGAGAAAAACCATTCTGCTTGTGTGCTTTGAGCTCAAGACTCTATACCAGAAATGGAACACAATGTTACCTTCAGGGATTTTTAATAAATCTAGGGAACACTGCTAGCAAAAGAGTTGCTGTCCAAATAGACTGACACACAGGCCAATGTAGCCCCTAATGACAGAGTAAGATAATGACAGGCCCCACTCAAAATCAGCAGGAAGAGGAAGATCAATCTTGGCAGAGTGAAGGAAAAATGCTGGCTTTCTTCATGTTAGCTCATCTCATACATATCTAGCTGCAGCAGCTGCCTGGGCCGTGGTGCTCTGCATTAACTACACAGTGGATCAATAACAATTACACCTTCTCAAAAACATGACACATAGCAGGATTGGGTTGACATTTCACTTAGGCCAACATTGATCTCAGTGCATCTGATTCCAGTCCTAAATTCAAGTCAGGCCTGGGTTTACTTGGAATAAACACGGAGTTAAAGACAAAAAAGGAAACCAGCTGCTTGCGTCCAGGGCTGGAAGTAAACAGCACTTCCCCCAGCACAGTTCCCATTTCCAATCCACTCTCCTTCCTGTTGCTAAGAGCAATTCTGAAGTTGATCAAAGATGGTTTTTTATATGATTTACTCACCGTGACATCAATGTTGATAATATCTCCATCCCGAAGAGGTCGACTGAAACATAAACAGAGAAAAAATGGCGATAGACAGACCTCAATAAAAGAAGTGTAAAAATAAATGCCTAACGACTACTACTGAAAACGCAGAACTGCAGTGGCAATTTCAAGTGAAGGAAGAATGAAGGGAATAACTAGATCTGACCTTTATCTTTTGCTAGTCACATCACATTTGATAAGAGATACATGAGACAGACACTGCTGGTTTAAAATGTATTTTTTTAAAAGATATACTGGCTAGTTAAGTCTGTAAATGGCCAAAACAATAGCTGACAACAAAAATCTGTCTCCTAATATTACCATATGGCAAAACTGGAAGATAAAATAGGTAATAGACAGCTATTTTTTGTAGCTCACATACTGTCTTAGGAAACATCAAATGGTGGTGTTACATTTGTTTAGAAGCAAAAAACTTCAAAATTTTTGTTTTACCATAATCAGCTTCACAAATGCACAGGTGGGTTTCAATTGAACTATGGTATCTTTCATTATTTGCTGTGGATCTTAGTTTCATGTTTTAGTTTCTAAAGGAAAAATATGCTATGGAAAAATGAATACCTGTCAGGAATACCATGACAGAGCACGTTGTTTACAGAGGTACAGACAGATTTTGGAAAGCGTCCATAGCCTAGAGGTGAGGGATAGGCATTATGACTGATGATTTCATGATGAACGAGAGCATCTATCTCTTCAGTTGTCATGTCAACCTGAAATAGCAAATAAAGAAATTGTGCAGTGACACTGAAGACATTTCCTGTATTTATCGACTATGCCTACAACAACAGCACTTCCAATGTGTGACTGTATAAAGTCACCATGACAAACTTATGGTATATTTTAATTATTCATGATTATTGCTACCATCCTCAACTGTGCTTTTTTGATGATCATTTAGTTAGATGATGGTGTTTTATACCATGGGAAAGAGAATCCTCCAAATCATTTGTGAGTCATTAAATGATATGATTCTCCAACATTACGGCCTTCAGCAGTTCCTTCTTCTTCCCCAATGGTCAGAGACCTGACTAATAAAGCATATAAATAAATGAGCAAAAGGAACAGGGTGTAGAGGAGACTGGAAGGAAATAGTTACATGTACCTTCTTATTTCACTGAAACACTGCACCGGTGAATTTTGCAGCAAAGGTGGGGAGACGATGGGCCATCATTTTAAAAACACAGTCTGATTATTTATTTATATTTTATTTTAGGTGTATGAGTATATTGTCTGCATGTATGTCGTGCAATGCCCACAGAGATCAGAAGAGGGTGTCAAATTTCCCTGGACCTGGAACTGGAGTTATAGATGGTTGTTAGCCACCATGTGGGTGCTGGGAAGTGAACCTAGGTCCTCTGCAAGACTAGCTAGTGCTCTTAACCATTGAGCCATCTTTCCAGCCCTCAGCCAGATACATTTTTTCAAAGATTTTATTCTCACTAATCTTGACTTCGTTCATGCCTAAATAAATAATTGTTTTATGGCTCCCTTACTAGAAAGTACCCAATTGTTCTCGAACAAAGAAAACTGAGATGGAGGGGTTTTGCAGTGCTGGGGATTGATCCCAGGGTCTCACATGAGCTAGGCAAGCATGTTAATGCTGAGCTTCACCCCAGTCCCTGAAAATGAGTTTTATAAGCACAAGAAGACTATCTTCCTGAGATCATAAATAAATCACAAACGAAATTCTGTAACAAAGTAAAATCTTATCCTAGAAGTTAACTATGTCCTCAGTATTTTCGGTGTCATTTTATTCACTGAGTGCTTAGTTATGTTGCTACAGCAAGTTTGTTATACAGATGACACAGTGAGTGATTTCATCTTTGAGTCCTTTCCTAAATTCTACTCACCTTTTAGAAACTACATTTATATATTTTTTTGTTATTTTGTCTTTTTTGTTTTTTTTTTTCAGAGCTGAGGACCGAACCCAGGGCCTTGCGCTTGTTAGGCAAGCGCTCTACCACTGAGCTAAATCCCCAACCCCATTTATATATTTTTTTAGTGAACTTTAGATAGTAGGATGTTCCGGGTTATTATGAAAGGACTACATCTTGTAGCAGGATGGTTATACATAATTATATTGACATATTACCCATAGTTTGGGGCCTGATCTTTCTTTGCAGTGCAGATACAAGAAAATAGAAGCAAAATACAAGGTAGATTAATGTTTTAGACATCCAGAAAGAGGCTGGGGGATAAAAGCAGAAACTACAGGCAGGAGTAAGGCAGCAAAAGTCAAAGTCCTCTGCCACTGATCAACTTAGGATGAGTTAGCTCAAAGTATGTTTAGAATTCCGTTACAATTGATTTTAGATGTTTAAAAATATCTCTTGAATACACACATAAAACAGTAAAATCCCTTTCTCCCAGTCTAAGGTTTTACTTAAAAAGTCAAATTATCAATAGATGAGTGCAAAAGAAGGTTTAAGGGGAAAGGGAGAAAAAGAGCAGTGTTTGTTGACTCTTATGTAAGTCACTCTGAGGCTTGGTGAGACGCCACCTTTAAACTCTTCCCAGCCAGGAGGAGGATGTGACGGGCCAGCTGACAAGCCTGACGAAGCCCTTGAATCTGATCTTCATTCTTAACTTCTATGCTGTCTCCCCAGTCGGGCATAATGCCTGTCGTCACATAGTCTGGCTTCTTTATGTGCTTGAGGAAAAAGGATTGAAAATGAAGATCAGAACCCAGCATGCGACAATGGGATCATTTTTTTCTGACACAGCCTCCTGCTTCATGGAGCTCTGCCCTTCCTGCCGGAGCACCGACCTCCAAAGCCAGCACAACAGACCCTCCAGGCTACCCCCAGTTCCTTCCCCTGCCCTTTTGAACTTAACATTGCCTGGTAGTGCTGCCTCTAGATGGTCTGTTAACCTTACCATGCTTTGAGTCAAGCCTGTCTGAAATAAACTTCTGGTCAAAACAAACAGCAGTTTTCTTACACCACCCAATCCCACTGGAAGCACAGCTCATGGACAAAAAAGACCTCCAGGCTTCTAATCTGCCAAATGGATTTAATTAAGCAGCATTCTCATCTTCTTCACACAAAGATAAAACTTACGCAAAGGATCGCTCTCAACACCCTCTCCTAGTGAATATATGTGAAAAGCCTGTCAAGTCATGGGACTTGCTACACATACACTTTCTTATACATTGTAACCCCAAAATTGAATGCCAGAGACTGACACAAAATGGCTTTACTTTCTTATTTCTTCTCCAAAGACAACAGAATTACCTAGAACGCTTCCATCATTTATCAAGAAACAACAAAGAGCCCTTCCTCCACCCCAAACTCAAAACATTCAGTCTGGATCCTTCTGTGGATCCTCTACCACCTAAACCTATTGGCAGTGTTCAGAAGATGATACACGCAGCTTCTTTCAGCCTCAAGGTGTGCAGGGTCCTTACATTGTTTATAGTAACTGTACATACATGAACACTGTTGAAGAGAACACAGTAAGGCTACACAAGTTTGGGACAGGAAGCAGAGGGAGACCATACTCTTAATCACGACATCTAGTGCTGGAGGGCTGAAGTTGGGGCTCTTGAGTTTGCGAAGAGGGCCAGGCAGGTCTTAGGATCTTCTCCTAAGGTGTTCAGAGGAGCTTTCCTTTCTTCTTTTTTCCTTCCTTTCTATTTATTTATTTACTTTTTTTTTTTGAGACAATGAACCTGGAACTTACTGATTTGACTAGACTGACTGGCCAGAGAGCCTCAGGAATCTATCTACCTGTCCCTGCCTCCCCGCACTGGGATTATAGGCATACACTGCAGCCCTTTGCTTTTTACATGAGTGCTAGGGATCTGAACACAGGTCCTCATGCTTGAGGGGCAAGCATTTATTGACTAAGTCATCTCCCTAGTCCCTGGAGAATTTTTTAATTTTGTTTTTATTAAAGAAAAATAATGTCAAATTGTGACTAATCCCAAATGCTGGCTCTCACTACGGTGGCCAAGCCTTAGCCCAGCCAGGACTGTTGGCATTTTCTTCTCTCAACCCTTGCTACAAAAATGGACCACTCACCTTTAGGAGGCATACTTAATGTGGTACGCTGTAAAGAAAAAGGCGTAAAAGGAAGAAAGCGGTGATTTTATGACAAATCTATATTTCTTTTACCTATTTTCCTTCTTAACGACCCCCATACCTCTTTTACATTGCATTTTGAAAGCTGGAGAGATTGCCTTTCTATAAAACTGAAATCTCTGGGAAAAAATATCGACAATGCTCTGATTAGAATAGACATTTTATTTAATTTACTCTTAAAAAATGATTCAAAGACAGCAGCATTAATAACATGGAAAGTGTAAGTGTGGGCTTAAAAACACCATTTTCCATGAATCCCTCTTGAATCAATCCATTTTTATAGTTGTTTCTTCTTTTAAAAAGTCAGAAACCACATACATATAGTCAGCCTCATGCTAGAAATTTAATATAGAAAATTTCATGATTAAAAATTGAAATTCCAAATAAACTACACAGTTGTATGCCAGAACTTTATTTTTTTAATTAGCGTTCTAAAACTGCAGGATATTAAAAATCTCACACCACAATTTTAAATCACAAACGAAGTTTTAAATTTAAAATTCAAATGGCCCAGAAATCCAAAGTGCTTCGGCAGTCAACCTTTACTGTGGCAGGCAGGCAGGCAGGCAGGCAGGCAGAAGCTACAGCAGTACAGCAGTAAGTACCTTAGGGACTGGATGTGCGGGAGAAACTGCAGCCGGCAAAACTATATTGTGGGAAACATCTCTTTGTCTCCGGGAAAAGAAATTTCGTCTTTGTTGACTGCTTGACTGCTTGTGTAAGTAGATATGACTGAGTGGTGAAGAGAAAATTCTATGACAACCTTTGAACAGAAATAGATACATTTCAGGTTAAAAAAGAAAAGGAAAAAAATTAACATAATGTTGCCCTTGAAGGTGTTGTGTTGTTATCTATTAAATCATTAGTCTCATCCTTTATTGACTCAAAAGGGAAAGCCCCAGACAGCAAGGAAAGCAGTAGTATTCTGAGTTCTGGTGAGGTAGTAGCACACTGTATTGATTAACTAACACTATGTTTACATAAATGTCTGAAATGGCAAGCTCTACTCTAATGGGAAATAAACATAGAAACATGTGCTAGCACCAGGTCTAGCAAAAGAACAATTTCTGCTGTGGTACCTTCTGTGACAATGTCCAGGATAACCCTAGAATTCCAGCCACTACTTTCTACTCTTTAAAACCGTTTTTCTTTCAAAAATCACAGACAAGTTGCCAGCTGCACTTTTGGCCTCCATGGGATCACTACTGTGGGTTAAGTTTGCGGTGCATCAGGAACATTAATCTGAAATTCACTGTGGTGAATGCTCAAGTTGGACCAAATAGCAAAAACATAGATATGAGCTGAGGCAAATGAACACAGGGTCCTAAAGTATCCACAACAGGAATTTAGAGCTATTTATCAAAATATTAAATGTACGTCTTTTGACTCTGCAATTAATCTCTTCAGACGTTATCCTGTGGTGAATATACAATGATAAATATATAAAGACATATCCTTGCTTAGACACTTTTTCATTGGGAAACTGGGAAACAAACCTATTTCCAAACTGGAAACACCAACTGGGGACTAGTTAAATGTATAATACAGTATATATACACAATAGCAAACTCTGAGGCCATTAAAAAAATAGTACAAAACATGGCAGTGTACACCCATAATCCTAGCTCTCAGGAAGCAGAGGCAGGAGGATCAGTTCAAGGTCATTCATTCTCAGCTATACAGTGAGTTTGAGGTCATCCTGGGTCACAGGAGACCCTGTCTCTGAAAACCAAAAGGAGGAAGAGAAGGAGCTGCTAAGTCATCTCTATGTATTAATAGGGAAAGAGGTCATCAGAGACTGTTAAGGAAAAAGGAAATGCTGAGCCATATGTATAAGAAAATCATTAGTCGGGGGTGTGGACATAATCAAAATACATTGTATATATATTAGAAATTCTCAAAGAATAAATAAAAATATATTAAAAAGACACCATTAGTGTAAAATGAGCTTGCACATTTATTTGTACAAGCTGGCACAAGCCTATAAATTGTTAGAAATTAATATTCATCAATACTGATTATTTCTGGAGCATACAATTAGGCCAGGAGGTGGGAAGACTTTTTGGTTCATTTTCTTTTCTTCTATGTTGTTAGTTTTAAAAACCATCCACTTCTGCCAGGCGTGGTGGTGCATGCCTTTAATCCCAGCACTTGTGAGGCAGAGGCAGGCTGATCTTTGTGAGTTCAAGGCCAGCCTGGTCTACATAGTGAGTTCCAGGACAGCTGGGCCTACAAGGAGACCCTGTCTCAAAAAACAACAAAAAACCCCCATCCACTTCCATTACTATTACAATAAAAATAACAGTTAAAGTGGGCATGGTGGCACATGCCTTTAATCCCAGCACTTGGGAGGCAAAGGCAAGTGGAGCTCTGAATTCAAGGCTCCAGTCTGGTCTACATAGCAAGTTCCAGTCTGGTCTACATAGCAAGTTCCAGGCTACAGTTGGCCCTGTCTCAAAAAGACCAAAAACAAATAAACAAATAAATAATAATAATAGTTAAAAAATATCCCCCACAGGTAACAACCACATGCTGGGTTGGCCAACTCTAGCCTGACGGCCAAATCTGGCCTGCTGCCTTTTTAAATACAGTTTAAAATCTAAAAATGGATTTTTGCATTTATAAATGGTTGAAAAAAATCAGGAGGAGAAATAATATCTTGTAAGTTGAAATTGTATGAAATTCAAATTTTGGTGCTCATACCTACCCACATTCACTTGCAACTGGTCATAACTGGTTCTGAGCTAAGGCAGAGTTGATTAGCTGTGACAGAGACACATGTCTCAAAAAGCCCAAGATATTTACTGCTAAGCCCTTCACAGAAGCTTGCTGCTTCCCAGTATAGAGCACTGTTTTCACAATGAGGCTTCCAGACCAGACATGGTGGAGGTTTGGGGGCGGGGGTCACAGAACTGAGGCTCCTCCTCAGGGAATGTGGCAAGCTGGGCTTTCATAAGCCTTAGGGTGATCCACAAGCACTTTGTGCTTGAGCACTTCCACCCCAGAGTTGCATCTAAGCTGTGAAAACTAATGGAGGCATGAACTACTGTGAGGTGAGTATTGATCACCAAAGTCAGGATCTGTCTAACTGGGAAAAGACATCAGAGAGATCCAGTGTCCAAAGTTTCACTCAGTTATGTTCCTGTGTGAAGCTGAACTCAGTACTGTTGAATTAGACACACAGTAGTTTTGGGTAATATGTGTATTAGTAGGTGACATATATAATGTTGAATAACACATATTAATGTACATGAATTATTTATATTTAGGCTGCACTGCTGGTGATCAAACCCAGGGCCTTGTACACAACAGGCAGGACTCCCTCCCATTGAGCTAATCCTCACTCCTATTGGGCACTGGGTACTAGTTTATGGAATTAAAAAACAATTTTTTTTTTGAGACTGGGTCTCACTATGTAGCCCTGGCTGGCCTGGAACTTGCTATGCCCCAAACAGGCACTATTTTAAACAATTCCAAATAATAAAGGACTAGAAAACCTTTTTTTTTTTTTTTTTTAAAAAAAGGGTTTATTTTTTTTTTTTTTTATTTATTTATTGAGATAGAGGCTTGCTTTGTTGCCCAGGCTGGTTTTGAACTTGTGGCTTCAATTGATCTCAATCTCTTGTCTTAGTCTCCTGAGTTACTGGGACTACACATTCAAGACACCATGCCTACCTCAAAAACAGCTTGACACAGGCAGGTACATTTTCTTGAAGTTTTTAAAGTGTAACATCTTCCCAAGAGGATGATAGCTCAGTAGGTAAAGTGCTTGCTTTGCAAGCATGGGCACCTGAGTTTGAGCTCCAAAACCAACATAAAAAGGCAGGCAAACTTGTGGGACTGGAGAGATGGCTCAGCGGTTAAGAACACTGGTTGTTCTTGCAGAAGACCCGAGTTCAAATCCCAGCACCCACATGGCAGCTAACAACTGTCCGAAACTCAGTCCCAGGGGATCCGACAGCCTCTTCCTCCCTCTGCGGGAGGGCACTGCACGACACGGGTGCACTTACCTCATGCAGGCAATACACACATATACATAAAATAAAAATAATAAATAAAATTAAAAAAAAAAGGCAAGTGCACTTGGAATCCAGCTCTGCGGAGACAAATGGATCTCTGAGGGTCCCTGGCCAGCTAGCCTAGCTTACATGGTAAGCTCCAGCCCAAGCAGAGATGCTGTCATGGGAAGAGAGAAAAAAAAAAAAAAAAAAAGGACAGCAAATGAAGAGCAACAACCAAAGTGATCCTCTAGCCTCTGTACACACCTACACACGTGTAATTGTACACACATGAATGTGAACGAACACACACACACACACACACACACACACACACACACACACACAAAGAAGAGATAATATGAAGAAGTGATAATATTACCAGCCCTGGAATTGTTAGGTGAAAGTTGTGGGGGTTAATTTTTTTTTTTTTTGTAGTCCTGAGGCTTGAACCCAGGGCCTTGCACTTGCTAGGCCAAATGTTCTACCACTGAGCTACATGTCCAGGTTCAGCCCCAGGACTGTCAACTGCCATGAGGGGTAGTGTCCTAGGAAAGGCGGACCTTTGGAACTCAGAAGGTTGGCTTTTATCTCAGCTCTACTACTTGGCTGCAGGTGCCTGAATGTGTTTCTTCTCTGAGTCTCGGGTGACCATTAAGTAGAATAAGGAATGTGAAAGTACCTTGTGTTTAACAGCTGCCCAATAAGCTACAGATTCTTCAAGAATACTTGAAAAGTAAAATGGGAAATAAAATTTAAGCTCCACTATAGCTTCTAAAGTGGAACACTTCGTTTTCTGTCAATTATTGACCAAGGTGCTTTACCTAGGTTAGCTCATTAATCTTCACAAGACTGGATTGGGAGCTGTTACTACATTTTATAGCAGAAGACACAAGGTATAGAAAAGGACATGCAGTAAGGACCAAAGCTGAAGAAAATCTCCACTAAGTACATTGCCTCTGCCAGAGGCAAGACAATAAAATTAGTTAACACACGGAAAATGGAAATGATGTCATAAAGCCATTGTTTACTATTATTATTTTCCAAAAAAAAGTGGCAATGGGTTGAGCAAGCTCCCTTCATGGACCACACATGCTTCAGTGGGCAGCTGGCTTCAGTGGGCAGCTGGTAGTAGCTGGGCAGTCTACTGCAGGGGATGGAGAATTTGGAAGTACCCAGGTGGACTCCATCCATGACTCCAGCCCCCTAGTTACACCCTAGGCAGGCCCATATACAAGGCATGGTGTTTTCCGTCTGAAGAAAGTACGCACGGTGATTACAACTAATAACAATAATGCTGATAGAAAGAGGAATAGTGGTTCAGATTTAATGAGTACTTTCTTTGATTAAGCTCCCCGCTAGGTGCTCATTTTATTATATATTACCTCTTACCAACTGTTAGATAGGCAGCAGCTGCTCATGTCATTGTTTTACAGATGAGGAACTACATACCTCTAGTAATCAAGGACCAGGCCCCTGGCTCTAGCCCTCTATGTCCAGACCCAGGACTGTGGTCACATTCCAAGTTACCCTCTAACAGTATACAGGGGCTATGCAGCCTACTAGCTAATATGGCTAGCCAAATAATGCAAGCTTTCCAGGGTTTAGATTGTGAAGGATGTTTTTTTTATTTTTATTTTTTTTTAATCTTGAAAAATATATCCCATGGGCAATTAACATTTATATCTATCTATCTATCTATCTATCTATCTATCTATCTATCTATCTATCTATCTATCCATCTATCTAATCTATCATCTATGTA